CATCTCACTTTCAGCCCCAAAGGATTTGGGTTCAGGCCTGCTAAGTGAGCTCCTTGGTACCCACTAGAGAAAAGGAAGTATTTTTTTTTCCTTACACCTGAGTGAAGCTCATTTTGGTGAGACATTATTAGCAGAGAAAATTGTGCCAAAGGGTAAGGACATGGCAGCAGTGTCCATGTCAGGGCGAGCGACTGGCCGTCTAGCGGGGAGCCCTGCCTTACGTTTGGGGTGGAAGCTGTCCCTTCATTGCAAGCAGTGCCTATTCTCCATCAGCCCCTGGGGGGCTGGTACACAACACCTTGCTCCTGCTGGAGGAGAGGATCACAGAAGCAAGTAATTCAGACCCGTGCGTACCCAATTATCTCTCAATCGATGATTTCATTTCCTTACATCGCTGCTTCATGGTTTCAGGCTCTCCTGAAAAAATAAAAGTACCAGACAGAGAGATCAAAGGACAAAGAGCTAAACATAGATCGGAAAAAGGGCAGCTGTTAATGCGACTGTAGCCAGTAAAGAGAACAGACTGAGATAAAGGTATAGTATTGGGGTTTTCAACTTGCAGGTCTTTCCTTCAGGAACAGTGGTAGGCTGGGGGGGTGATGGTGGCTGGACTCAAAGGACAAGCTAGTTCCCTTCATTTGGGTTGCCCAGCTCCCCCGAATGGACTTCTGTCTGAGAGGGTGGGTTGCAGATGAGTCCATCTGCTCAGTGTTTTTCAACCTGTGGGTCATGACCCAAAAGTGGGTTGCAAGAATATATGAACAAACTTTAAAACTGGATCAGCAAACTTTAAAAATGGATTCTCCTTTAAAGGAGAAAAATGTGGGAAATGTGCGGGCCGGGAGCGACCCGAGCCCTTTTTCGTGCTGCACGCGGGCTGTGGCCAGCAGCCCGGGCACGCTGGATCGGAGAGGGAGGGCGACGAGCTGGAATTAGGCACAAACGCTTAGCGGTAGTTTTAAAGATTGTTTACTTACACCGAGATGGCAGTGGTGTAGGCTGGAAAACTTGCTCGTGGAGTCCTCCAACTTGGGCGGAAACCACTCAAGCTTTTTATACGGCTAGCAAGCCAATCACTAGCCGCCATGTGGGAATAATTTAGAACTAGCCAATAGCGGGGAACGAATTTGCATACGGGTGGCGGGAACTCTTTTGCACCGTGCATTCCTCTTGCAACTTGAGCAATGCACCCTGCAAAAGAAGCTGCAAAGAGGCGGGAAACTCGTCCCTGCACCGGGGTTTTCCTCTGCAACAGGAAACTCTCCCGTGCAATGAAGCTGCAACTTGGCAGGGATAATTCTGGTGCCAAAGCACACACACAATCATGCCTTTGGGTCATGACAGGAAACAGTGGCCTTTCTCTTGCAGGCTGGCAGAGGTCCAGTTTGTAAGGGGCTGCTGGGGGCCCCCTTGTCTCACACACTGGAAGGCTGGGGGTGGGGGCAGCCAGTCATGAGCGAGGGGCAGTGAGGCAGGACTGGCCATTGGTGTTTACACATGTGTCCTGGTACAAAAAAGGTTGAGAACCACCGCATCTGCTTGTGCACACATTTCAAGAGGCAGAAGGTAGACACAAACACATGCACATGTACACACATATACAGTGTCAGAGGAGGGAATTAATTCCCCTGCTATTCACCACAAGGACCCCCCATTTCTTCTTCCAGTGCCTCTATACAGAAGGGACTATGTGAGGCCAAGGCCACGAAGAAATATAGGAAATTGAGAGAGAAACGGGGCTCATGTACACGCCACGATTTTTGGCCTTTCATGCACTGCAACGGTATGTCTGTTTGCATGAGCGGGATTTCCCAATGCTTTAAAAGTCTTTTTTTTGCATTAAAGTGCAGAAGCCACCTTAATTGTGGGAAATTGGCCAGCCACAGTTTGTACTAACCAGAAGTAAGCTGCTTATGTCAACTGGGACTAGACTGGGCACAGAAGGTGAAGGGGTGACTGAGTGACACTGTCCCTAGCTATGGTGACTTTAGGAAGAAGCTTCCCTTTGAAGCAAGAGAAAGGATGGCCACACTGGTATCATGGACCCAGACTGCACTGAAGCTTGTGAATCAGGCCCAGGACGCTCAGGTGAGGCTTGGGCCATCTCCATGGTGCCTTGAACCTCTTGTGAGGAGACTCTCCTGCCCTTTCATTATCTGCAGGGCTGCAGTCACATTGCTGATGCCAGTCCGCTTGGCCCAGCAGCTCACCAAGCTTTGGTTTGATATTGGCTGCTTGCCGTGATGTTCCTCTCATCACCGTGCCTCCCTGCGGTGTCTGCTATACTCCCCTACTGGTTCCTTGACATGGCATCTCAGGGCACCAGGATGTAGCAGTGATTTGCTGCCCTGGGCAGGGCCTGAACTCGCTATTATAGTTCACTGGCTCAGAGGCAAAGGTCCTGAACAACCTTACAAGCCAGTGAGCCATCCTTCCACCCCATCCCTGCTGGAGCAATAGGTGGAAACAAGTGTCCTTGGTGTGCTGCCCTGGGGCAAGCTGAATGAGTGATGGCAGGGCTAGGGACCACCATGGCTTTCTATGCAGATACTGCCAGGTCAGGGGAGAGGCACTGCCAGTAGAGGCCTGGGGTGGACAAGAGTGAGGTCTCAGTTTGGAAAGAGGCTGGTGCCTCTGGGTTATGCCTGTAGAAATCAGGTGCAGAGCACTGATGCAGACAGAGGGACCTGGGTTTGATCTGGTCAGCCAGGGCTGCTCCTAATTCCCTGCCTTTTTCTTTGTACTTCACAGGTGGTGGAAGAATCCAACTCAGAGGCGTGCCGCTGCCTGCGCTTCGGTGAAGCAAACCTGATGTGCTGCTGGCCCAGCACCTGCCTCGTGGGCTGTGACTGTGGCAAACGCTGGGTGCAGGGCTGACCGGAGCAGGGCCTGACTCTTAGCTCCCCAGCAGACAGCTCCTTACCTTGAGGGGAGAGGCCGTGAGCTCCTGGCGCAGCGGAGAGGGTGTGCAGAGCAAAGCCTGATTCTTTCATGCTACCCATTAGGCCAGCTTGCCAGCAGACCAGAGCCTTGGGTGGGATTTGTCCCTTCTTGCCTTGGGGCATAACTCAAACTGAGCCCCAGAGACATGAGCTGGCTGGCCCAGAGCCCACATCATGTCATTGGCAGGTCAGCTCACTGTTCTTTGCCTCAGTTTTCCACTCTGTAAAATGGAGCAAATGCTACCTCCTTCCCACTGGAGCCCTGGGGATGTAGGTGCTATGTTATATCCAAAAGGGGCAGTCCTAGGAGATACTTGGCTTGAGGCTTCATTGCTACCTCCATTGCCCCCCCCCCCTTCCCTCTCATCGTCCTTCCTCTTTTGCACTGAGACAAAGGTGCCATCATCTTTTTTTCTCCATAATGTTGCCCCATCTATAACTCTCACCTGTCTCCATATCCCCCGCACCCTCCCCTCCCCTATGCCTCTCTCCTCTTCCCTTTCTTCTCATCTCCTCTTGCTTGCTCTCTTTCCAACACACCTCATTTTAGCACCTGCTCCTTTTTCCATGACTAACATGTCCCATGTTCTCTTTCCAATTTTCTGGCCTTTTTTCTTCCCATTTTGCAGCCATTTCCCAGCAAGTGGCTGCCACAGGGAGAAGGTTTTTTTTTCTTCATAGGGATCCATCCAGAGGGACCTCTGAGCAACATCGGGGAGTTCCCCATCTGAGGACCTTTCCACGTTGGCTGATAATGAGTTAATTCAGCTGCACGCAGCCCCTGAGAAGGGCGAAGCCATGGTACGCCACCTTTTTCAGGTGAGGCATAGGGAAGATGAAGGGGCAGAATCAAGGTTACCTGGCCCGACAGTGGCAGAGCTGTGAATATAACCTCACTTTTTGTCCTGTGGACACAGAGAAGTGGACTCCAGAGTCTGGGCAACCCCTCCCGGTCCTGTATGCTGCTCTGACTTGCCTGGTCTATAGCAGAGCTTGCCAGGCGATGTGCGCCAGGACAGTCCCAGATTTCATGTTGTCCCAGATGGTCCCCCTAGCCGTAGCGCTGCTGTTGGTGTGGGAATCAGCTCCAGCATTTCCTTGTGCGATGAACTCACACAAGCTGCATGCATCGGTTTCCTGGGTTGGCTTTCAATTCTTGGGGGCAGAGGCCAGCTCTACTCTGCAGAGTCTTGCGGACATAAAGGTCCCGCTCCCTTGGCACTGTAGCTACTTTGACAAAACCTAATAGATGGCTTCTGTCAGCCGACTTCCATCTTCAGGAAGGTGATGGAAATATGCTGGCAGGAAAAACCCTCTCTGCAAAACAACTAGAAGAGAAGCAGCCCTGCAGATAACTAAGTCCGAAGGCTTCTTGAAGCCCAAACCTGCTTCACTGAAGCCAACGGAGGTTTTGCCGGCTGCTAATTTGAGCCCCACAGGATGGAAACTTATGCAATTGTGTGGTCAGATGAGTGCTTGTGACACCTTCATTTTTCACAAGTGCTGCAGAGAGCAAAGACTAACCCAGCTGGCACACCTGTGCAGGGGGAATAACACGGCTGCTATTGCCAGAAGAAGGAACTTGTAGTTTATCTCCTGAAGGATAGTCACAACTCCCTCTACTTCACCACAAGCTAGGGCAAACTCCCTGATGCCAAAGGCCATCAAAGCCCCATGTCTGTGGGCTGGGCCAAATGGTTTCAGGATCTGTTCAAGGCAATGTATCATTCCTGGTATACAAGGAAGACAGAGCTGGAACTCAAGTGGTGAGGAAGAGCCTCTGTATTTTTACAACATAGCCATTTTATTTAATCAGGGTCCCTGATAATCAAAATAGGATTAGCCCCAAGGTCTGCTGTCATCCGAACGGTCTCATAACCACAGAACTGCCCAATTGCGACCTCATCTGCTTGCATCACCGTAATCATCATGATCAGCAGCAGCAACATCTTCATCCCTGCAGCAGCACCTAAGAGCCCCAGTCCTGGACCTGGAAGCTGCAGGACAAGGTGCGGTACCAACACGGTGCAAAAAAAGGGCCTTTGCCCCATGCAGCTCCCAGATGATGTCAGCAGATCTCCCAGTCTAGGGGGCTTTTAGGTGGGTTTCCTCTCTGGGTTGAGGGCCCGGGAGAAGGAGGTGCAGGATGAGTGCCCAAAGCAAGTGATAACACAGGTAGGGGCAATGCTAAATCCTGCTCTCCATGCCCAGAAAACGTCCCTGAGGAGGAGGAGGCACCAGCTGTGCAGTGTGAGGGGAAGTCTTCTTGTCTCCGGCTTGGCCAGAACCTCTCCATTGCGAGGAAGAGGTTAGGAGCAATGCGTCTGGCTGGGACGCTCCAGCCTGTGTTTATGCAGGAGATCACCTGCTGCCCAGCGTCATCTTGGCTGGCCTTAAAACCTCTGGACACAGTCCCTGGCCAAAGACAATGCAGCATAAGCCAGGCAAAGGCTGTGGAAGTGGGCAAGACGTTTGGATCCAGATCCTCCTCTGGTGTAAAGCAACAAAGCTCCACTGACTTCAATCTGTGTACCTCCCAGGGGTGCTGGGAGGGACGTTTGTACAGTGCCTTACACAGTGGATTCCTGGTCCAGGACTGGGGCTCTTAGGTGCTGCTGCAGTGATGATGACGATGGTGATGGAGTGAGGTGCCCACACCTGAAAAGCGGTGCTCAGGATCCTCCTGGTTCCCAGCCTCATCACCCTGTGTCCATGGGTTCCCCTAGCAGGGGCTGGGTCTTTGTTCAGAGCACAGGTTTCCTCTGTATCCAACTCCCAGCCACGGACCGTACCGGCGAAAATGTGAAGCCTGCAGGGCTGTGGGAGACAAATGATCCCCTGCCCTAACTCTACCAGCTCATACTGCACAGAGACAACCACCAGGTTTGCAGACTGCATGGGGGAAGGTAGCAGCATTTGCAGCCGGGGATTTGCCAGGGGTGTCTGTGAAGGAAGGAGGGTTGGGAAGGCAGCCAACAAGCAGTGAACTTTGCTGGAGCATCCTTGTCCTTTGTGGGCCAACTGGATTTGCCCCTGGGATAGAGAGAGCAGGTATGCCTTGTGCCTGTCCATCTAACTCCCCTGGATTTGTGAGGACCGAGTGACCTCTGGTGGGATCACAGAGTCATAGCACCTTTTGGTCCGGCCGGGCTCAGAAGTAGATCGCCAGATTCGTTTGGAGTCAGGCAGGATAGCTTCCTATAAACCAGCCAAATCAGAGATGTGTAGGTTCAGCTTTTGGAAGCAACAGCTGATTTCATCAGGTGCTGCAACAGGCCTGCAAAAAGCCCAGCTGCTAAATCGGTGCAGTGATTACCATAAAAAGAGTGGGGAAGGGGAAGAAAAACGATGGGCGGAGGGAGTTAAGAGGTGCTGAAAGCTAAGCCCATGTGCATGTTTGCCTGGGGAGGGGGATGCTGCCATGGAGCAAGGGCTAGGAGAAGAAATTCATAGATTGCAATGTGGAGCGTGTTTAAGAAGGCAGATTGCAATGACCCCAGTGGGATTTGGCCTGGGCCGCGTGACCAAGAGCCTTATTGTGGGGAAAATTATCAAAAGGACTTTAGTTAACATGAAGGCTGCAGCTGTGGGTTGAGCAATTTATCAGCTTACCCCGTGATGCTGGGAGTCTGGAGGACTTGGGATGGGCTGGTTCACCGCTCCAGATCCAGCTTGCCACATGAGTGGTCAGGGCTGGGGAAATGTTGGGCTCTTTGGGGAGCTGGCTGGTCTGGGAGCGCTGGGATCCCGTGCCCTTGCCTGCATAGCAAGTCTGTCCTGAGGCCTGCAGACCTTGGGAGCTGCTGACCGACACCTGCTACGAGTGCAAACTTCACTCTACGGCTGCTGGAGGCCTGGGAACTGGTTTTGCTTTGGGAGCAGCACACGTGGCTGCTTTTTTTCCATAGAATCACAGAGAAGTAGGGCCGGGAGGTAGGGATCATGTAGTGCAACCCATGCCTGCAGCAGGATCAGCCCTATCCAAACCATCCCATACAAATCCACTGTCAAACCTCTTCGCAAAACTCCTGTCAACCCTGACACAACATGGGAAATAACACCCGGACCTCCGACAGGTAAAGCAGGGGGGCCACAACACCCAATGTCCTGCTTCTATGAGAGGTTATTAATATATGCACAAGGGGTCCCAGGTAGAGGACCAAGCCCTCATCCCCCCACTATGGAAGAAGGCAGCTCACCCCACACAGTCCGTACCAATCTGACCATGGGGTGATCTTCCTTCCTGTCCCAAATGTGGTGACCGGTCTGACCCTGAGCGGAGGGGCAAGACCCTCTAGCCAGGAACCACCGGCTTTGGTCCCAGCAGGAGCATTGGCACACCCCAACCAAAGTCCACAGCCTGCAGCGAACACCCAGTGCCTCTGGAGAAAGCTTAGAAAACACCCTGGCACCTGTAGCAGAAAAGGGGGGAGAAGCAGACTACCCTCCCAGCCCCATGCAGCATCCAGCAAAGCCCAGAAATACCCACGGTAGAGCACAGGCATCGCTATGCCTAGATCATCCCCGACCCATGCCTGCCCAGCCTCTTCTTGAACACCTGCAACGTCCCTAGGCATCTATTCCCCTGCCTCCCTGTTCTAACTGTGAAGAAGTTTTCCCCGGTATCCAGTCAAATTTCGGAATTTCCACTTGCTGGCAAATGCCTAAATATCAGTATTTTCTGTGGAATACAAGTGCCAAAGTTCACCCGGCATGCCAAGGAAAAGGGTAAGGGTAAGGGAAATGGCTGCACAGCCAGGCAGTGTCAGGCACAACTCCTGCTCTTTGATCTTTCTTATGGGCCAAGCTTGTGGCAGCTGGGGAGGTCCGATGGGGGCCAGACCATCAGCAGGTGTGCTCTCCTGCGCGTTGCCACTGCTACCTCAAAGACCCCCTCACCGCTGGCTGCTCTTCCAAGCCCTGGCTGGAAGCGGAGGGGCTGGGAGCTTCCCCTGATGCACAGCTTGGCTGTGGGTTGCTCTCAGAGACTGGAGGACCCTCCTTTCTGGCCTGGGCTGAGCAGCAGCAGGGGACGTGGAGCAGTCAGAGCAGAGCTGGGGGCTGAGCAGTGCAATGGCTGCGGGGACCAAAGAGATTTAATCATGAGAGAGGGTCTGTCTATTGGGGGTCTTTATTGGTGGATGGCAGGTCCCACCAAGATGGGCAGCCTTGGAAACGGAAGTGCTCAGCTGACCTAGAGAAGACTGCAGCACTGGCAGGGGCAGGGCAAGGGACCATCCTGCTAGGCATGGACCGGGGTGGAGGGATTCAGTCCCTATGGCTCCGTCAGTCTTGGCTTGCCATCTGCCCTGCCAGGGGTTCCACAAACCCCAGTTGCAGCAGTGCTGGCTGCTCTGGACATCAGGCACTGGGCTGGGACCTCTGTGCCAGGGACTGAGGAAGGAGGTTTGCTTCTGATTGCACTTCTCATGGTCTCTGTGTCCTGAGTGTCCTGCCCACTCCTCTCAGACCCCCTCCCCAAAGGCACAGAAGCAAAGGGGGGGGGAGCAGGTCCAGCTGAGAGGTCCATGGGGCACCGTATTAGAACAGCCTGACAGTCCCCTCCAGCCAGCATCGCGGAGACGGCCCCTCTCCTCCAGCACGCTGCCTCATGCAGGCGCAGTGGCCTGGTGCTACTGCCCTGGCTCTGGCTCGTATTGCTTCTCCGTGGCTGTGTAGAAGTCCTCGAGCACGGACTGCAGGTACTCAAAGGTGGGTCGCTCCTCGGGCCTGGTCCGCCAGCACTTCAGGATGATGCTGTAGAGCTCGCCGGGGCAGCCGTCTGGGCAGGGCATCCGGTAGCCCCGTTCCACGTTGCGGATCACCTCCGGGTTGGTCATGCCTAGGACGGTATTGAAGAGGGGATGGATCACTCTAGAGATATCTGCTTCAATGCATCTGCCCCTGCCACTGCTAGGGGGATCAGGCTGCTGGGCTAGACAGACTGACCCAATATGGCACTGCTTATGTTCTCGTGCTCTTGAAGTGCATCCCCCCCCAACAAGGTGAGATCAGGAAAGGACAGGACAACTCTGCCATCCCCTCTGCAACCTGCACCAGGCAGGTCCCCCCATGCACATTGGGCACCCACTAGCCTCACCTGAGAGCAGGACTGTCCTGCATCAGCATGTGCCTCTAGGAGAGTGCCTGCCCGACACAACCGATGCAAAAATCAAGTACCTGGCCTGAGGTCGTCCAGCGCAGCTGGGAATCACCCCCTGCTCCCTGCTTAGCCCCGGGCTGGATGTCGTGGGAGACCCTTGCCCTGCCCATACCAGCGCTGTAGTGTCCTTTGGGTCAGCTGAGGACTTTAGTTTCACTCTCCCACTGCCCAGGATATTGGCTGATCTCCTAGGCTCCTTTAAAAGGAGATCATCGAGTCCGACGGGGGTCGGACTCGATGATCTATTGAGGTCCTTTCCGACCCTAACATCTAACATCTATGAAAAAAGCTCCAGGAGCTCAGACCCATGCCATGTGCACAATGGGAGAATTCCCCCCTCAGTCCTTGCTATATAGGGCCCATGACCCATAGCCAAGCTGTTTGGATGTTTCCCCCTGGATTTCTCTCTGGAGGATATGCCCCGGCCAGGCCCTGCAATGCAGCCGTGTTGTCAGGGGGAAGGCTGTAATGGGGGTATTGCTCATAGCAGCAGTGTTGTCCTCAGGAAAACCAGGAGCAGGATCATGTGCTTCCTATGAGCCGAGCTCCACAAAGCCGATAAAAGCACTGACGGCGCAGCTGCAGCCTATTCGGCATTTATTGCCACCCATGGGCCAGGCCTGGCTGCATCTATCATTGAAGCTGCCACTGGAGTCAGCAGCCAGGAAAACCGTCTCTTGAATGACAGCACTGGGCAGAGTCACGGTCCCTGCCGTCTTTTCCGCTGAAGTTGCGTACAAGCTTCACGCTCCTATTGCCGGGCCTGCGGGGTTGAGGCAGGGCTTGTGCAGCAGACTCCTGCAATCTGGCCCTGGTAAGTGGGTCATGGCAGGACAGCTGCCAAACTGCAAGTGGAGGAGCTGTGTAGTTCACACACACACGTGTGCACTTGTGCACTCACATAGGCACATGCATACACCAACACACTTCCCCTTGGAGCACTTGGGATGCTGATGTGTCTATTGCTGCACAGCAGGACTCAGTCCAGCTGGTACCTTTTCAACTAGCAGCGAGCCAAGGAGCTCCCTGATGTGCTCCGTTGGCACGGAGGATCCCGAGAGCTATTCTAGCAGTGGAGCCAAGCATGGGAAGAGCCTGGCATGCTGTAGCGGAGAGACCCATCACCCCCTCAGGTTGCTTCTGCGAGCAGAGTACACTTCTTGCAGTCCCAGCAACTGCTCCCAGCCCTGGCTGGAAACAGGGTCTGGTCTTCTTGACAGTGGGCAGTGCTGGAGGAGGCTTCACCAAGCTACAGGAGGTTTCCCCTGCAGGCAAGGAAGGGGTCACAGTGCCCAGACACCAGCCATTGGGGAACCAAACCAGGAATGGACATGCAAAGTCACAGTGAAGGAAGGTGGAGGAGACAACCCTGAACAATGCCAGCTGCCAGGGGGGTGGTCAGGAAATAGGATATTTGCCAGTGGCAGGAACGAGCAGGGGATGTGGAGAAAGACCACATTGACTCCCAGACCCTTCCTATAGGGTTTCCTCCTTCTGGGCTGATGCCAGTTCATTTAGCCCCTTTGCCAGGGGAGAGTCAAGGCTCCATATCCCACAACTCATCCCATGCCCTAGGTTGTGATCAGTGGTTTCTCTGGGAAGCAGGAAGTGCTTGGAAGCAAAGCAGGAGGGACGCCGTGCCCCCATACCTGGATATGGGATCCTGCCGTAGGTGATAATCTCTGTGAGGAGAACGCCGAAAGACCAGACGTCGGATTTGATGGTGAAAACCCCGTAGTTAATTGCTTCCGGCGCTGTCCATTTGATAGGGAATTTGGCACCTGTTGGGAAGGAAAACGTTAAAGAATGGCCTTGGTGGGAGACTGTTCCCTGGGCCCAGAACTTGCAGGGAGCCCTTCTGCTTGCTTCTGGGAGGGGATACTTCAGTGTACTTACCCCCCACAAAGTCTTGCATTTAAATTCCTCCCCACCTTACTTTCATTTCTACCCAGGAGAACTTGTGCAAACTTTTCTCCGATGCCCGATGAAGGGTGTTTGTGCCCAGAAGCTTGCAATTAAAGAATTGTTTTTTGCAAAAATCGAGTTGGTCTAATAAAAAATATCACCTCTGCCACGAGTCCTGATTACTTTTTCCCCACCTTACAGAAACTCAACCTTGGAGGGCTTCATACAGCCTAACTGCTTTTGTTCTTGCCCTTCATGCTTTTGAGAAGTAGAGACGGATGAGCCTGGGAGCTGAGCTGCATTAAGTGAAGGCCACCCAAAGCAGACAGAGGAACGTGCGCTACTTAACACTACAGCTGAGTGAAGAGACTTTAATGCAATCCTTTTGCAGGGAAAAACACAACCGCTGAGCAGAGGGTGCTGATTTTGCTGGGATGAGCCCCCACTTTACTAGCACGGATGTGTGTCCCTTTACAGCCATCTCAGGAAGGTGCCTCTTTTTTTTATTTTTTTATGTGGAAATGGCTTTTTGTTGGAACTTTTCTATTATGCTCACTGTTACAATGGCACCTTTCTTGAAAAAGTAATGGTGAAATGAGGTGTTTGGGGGTTTTCTCCATTTTGTTCTTTGTTTTGTGGATTCAAATGGATTCTCCCCCTCCCCAGAACTGGAAGTATTCAGATCGCTTTGCGACTCCAAGCGCTGCCAGAGTGCCAGATCTCAAAACCTCTCCCCAAATAGCTCTACTCAGACTCTGCAGTTGTACTGAAGAGCCGCTGTTTTGTTTCTCTGACTTCACCGCCTCTTCACAATCTGAGTGAATCTATTGCACAACCGGCATCCTGGCAGATGACAAATATCTTATGGGCAGCAATTTGCTGTGTCTGTCCTTCCAGTTGCAGAACTGAATCAACCTACCGGTATCCATGTGCCCTCTCGTGGCCACTTCTTGCTTGTGTTCGCCCTACACATTGCCGTCACAGAGACTCGAGCTGGCAGCTCTGTGTACAGCAAGGGACCCCTTCCACAATTCATAAAGCCGGGCTATATTAACTGAACCAGCAACCGGAGATGCTTCAGAACTATGGATCCAGAAATGCCTACAAATCAGTCAGGGAGAGGGCAATAAATCCAACCTCTGCTGCAAAATTCATACATTGCTCCTCTTTTTACAGCTGACCCAACCAAAGCACTAGGACCAATTGAATGGGTGACTGAAATCTGGATCCAGATTCACTAAGTGGAGGACATTTTTTCAGTAGAGACAGTTTGTCCGACAGCAGAGCCAGAGATCATAGCGCGATCATCCCCTATCAATACTGTATTTGGGTGGGAGCTCTGGGTGGGAGCAGGATTGCATGGGGGAGAAGACCAGTCAGAAATAGAGCCAGACCCCTTTGGTCTGGTGCTGCCGTAAAGCACCAGGCGTGGAACCCACCTTCCTGTGCCAGGTATTCATTTTCTATTATCCTGGCCAAGCCAAAATCAGCAACTTTGCAGCAGAGCATCTCTGAGACGAGGATGTTCGCTGCTCTCAGGTCGCGGTGGATGGAGTTCATTCTCTCGATGTATGCCATGCCTTCGGCCACCTAGGAGAGCAAGAGAGGCCATGGGGGTTAGCACATTGCCTGGACATTAAACATGCCAGCAATCACCTTGTCCCTCCCCAGTAGGAGATTGCATGACTATTCCTCAGCTGAGATCAGGGCTGCACTGTGCTAGGTGCTATAGGAGACAAACCCTTGGCTCCTACAAAGCTCTTGGACAGGACAGATGATGTGTGGCAGCAAGAGGGGATCCTCAAACCCGGGGACAATCAGTCATTGAATTCAGATCACTTGATTCCCAGCCACAAGAGTGGCCCCCCTGCCCTTGGATTGGAGTTGAAAGAAGATAACAGCGTTTGGGGCCTGGGTAGAGTAGTTCAGCTGTGGAGTAACTCAGTAGTAGTCCTGCCCACCTGGATATGGGCATGAATATCCTCCCAGTTCATCCCTTCTATAAAGCACAGGTTTGCATGGCATTTGCTTGTGCTTTTGCCCAGCACAGAAACCAGGAGCCCCTGTATGCCATGCACGGACTCGGCTGCCTTGCATGCCACTCTTTTTTGGCTGTTGTTGCTCTCGTCCCCCTTGGCTTTACTGGCATGTCCTTAACTACGGTGTTCCTCAGGGCAGTGTTGGCGAGCATTATTGGGAGCAGTCAGCCCCAAATTGAGGCAAGTCCCTACTGTAACCTGGCGGGCAGGACTACTGCTGAATTACTCCACACCTGAACTATTTTCACCAGGCCCCAAATTGAAGCAAGTCAGTGCTGCAGCGGGGCGGTCTGGGGAAACAGGATGCTTTGAAGAGGAGGCTGATGGGATGAAAGTAGGTCTCTGCAAGAACGATCAGTGTTTTCACTTGCCCTGAGGCCAGGGCACCAGGATTTTCCATGCCATGCAGTTTCTCATCAACCCCTAGCTTGCATGTGGTTTTAAACAGGATACTCGCACATACTTTCCAACTATGTATTTCACCCTCTATCAACACCCTTTCAGCTTGAGTGCGGCTCGTCTGAGTGGAAAATGGAAGAACTGACGTCACTTCCTGTCCTGATGTTAATGAGATAGCACTAGACCCATGGTTTCCTTTCAGCCTGCGCGTGCAGGGGGGACTGACCACAGGATGAATTCAATCGATTCAGTCCTTGCTAATTTTAACTCTGGGTGACGCTCTTGGCTGTGAAGCACGCCCAGTATGAGTGCTACTACCTTGGGATGTGATGTAATCCAAACACCGTTGGTAAACATATTGCAAAACAGCTATGCCTGTGCTCCACCCAAGGGGTGATTGGAAACCCCCTATGTTATAACAACTCGACATTGGAGAGAGGTCTGTAGTGACAGATGGGTGCCTGGGTTATGGTCTGGAATGAAAGGCTTCTACGTGGCCTAGGGACGTCACCCTGGAAAGGGCCTTCAGGTCCATCCCTCTGCATCGAGCTTGACTGTCCTCAGCGGTGGCAGATGACAGAACAAGGAGCAACGGGCTCAAGTTGCAGCAAGGGACGTTTAGGTTGGATATTAGGAAAACCTTCACTAGGAAGGTGGGGAAGCACTGGAGCAGATCACCCAGAGAGGTGTTGGCATCTCCATCCTTGGAGGTTTTGAAGATCTGGCTCAACAAAGCCTTGGCTGGGATGATGTAGTTGGGGCTGGTCCTGCTTTGAGCAGGGGGTTGCACAGGATGTGACCTCCTGAGGTCCCTTCAACCCTCATTTTCTATGATTTGCAGGCAACTGTTTGTTCATAAAGGGCCCAAACAACCTTTACTCCACCTCCCCTCCCTCCCCTCCCCCCAAGACACCATATAAACTCCCCTACAACCTGTCACAGGTAAAGAGCATGTAAACAGCAGCAGAGACAAGGGCACCCCCAATGCCCTGCCACTGCAACGGCATGGGAATTGTGGGCTAATATGCATGTGGGTGACCCTGAGAAGGGGCCCACACCCTGCCCTGCCAATAAGGCACTGCAGAGGAGAGGGGCTGCCATGCTCAGCTGCCCCAGTACCACAGGCAACTGGTGCCTCCTGAGTCTGGGGGAGCACCAGATCACTGATGGGGGGGGTCTCCCAATGGCTGATTGACAACTGGGGGGGCAAGTTCCCCGGTGGCCGATCACCGAGCCAGCAGTGAAACTGGAAGTGCATGTCCACCGGCACTTCCGGTTTCGCGGCTGGTGCTTCCAGGGGGTTCACGGCTGATCTCAGAGGGTGCATGTGCACCCGCTACACATGGCCAATGCACACCACCCACTATGCTGTTTATCCTGGATGCATCCAAATGCTTATATAGCCCAGGGAGCATCTGGAGGCTCAAAGGTGACTCCATGCCCTCCAAACAAGACTGCAGCCACATGCACTGCCCTGGGTGGAAGGTGAAAGTCGGCTGCAGGCTCTGCAGGTCCTCGCTACTGGGTTTTTGCGGGCATCTAGACCCCAGCCTGGGCACTCACTGTAAAGCTGCAGTTAATTGTGGGTGCAAAAGATCACCCAGACAAGCTGCTTTTTGCAGGCCAGGCTGTGGGGTGCAGCCCACGAGAGGGGCCTCATTGAGCATGGTGTCACCCAACCACAAAAGGAACGCTCTGCCTCTCCGTTCACCACGTGGAAGATGCCTGTTCATGTAAAACTGTCCCTCCCTTTAGGCCAAAGCACCTCACTTAAACAGGGAGCTCCTGGTCTTCTGTGGAGCCCCTCCGTAAAGGCGTACGGCAGCCCCATCCCTCCATCACACCAGAGCAATTGCCTGCAAATCTCTCTCTTCGTACTGAGTTCCCTCCTCCTCCCCTTGACTCAGAGACCACTCCCTTGACCACCCCCTTGCTTGCATGAGGTTTTAAACAGGATACTCCCTTTCCTCAGGGGCAACTTCTTTCCAGTTAGCCCCAAACGTCTTTCTCAAGGATGTGGACTCCAACCCACCTGGCACTTGTCCCACCTGCTCTGAATTAACCCACACCTGTTTTCTCCTTTGAGGCATGAGTTCGGTGCATAGTTTGGAAAGCATGAGGGATGCTCCTTGAAGGAAAAACCCTTCCTAGGAATAGAAACCCCATCTTCCAAACGAGCCCCTTGCACCATGGTGGAGGCCTGGTTTCAAAGGAGTTTGCCGAGGTGAACGCGGTCCCACATCTCTATCTTCAGGAATGTGAGTCCAACCACAGGTGATTTCCTTCGCGTTACAAAAAAGAAATAACTCGTAGCCGGCGAAGCTGCAGCTGTGGCCCATAATTTATCAGGGGTATCAAAGGTAGACCTGCAGACTGGATTTTATCAGTAGTAAAAAGGAAATGACCTGAAAAGCCTCCGTGGCAGAGGATAAAAATAGCTATCGGGGCTGCTGCTTAGAGGTATTGCAATCATTTTACTTCAGGGCAAACTACGAAGCAAATGGTTCTGCTGGGTCAGCTGGTGCTTGCTCAGGCAGAGCGGCTCCCAGATCCATTCATTATTTAAAACCGGAGCCGAATGGTAGCTGCGTTCTCTAGAGGAGGGTTGTGTTAGGCACAGTATAATTGCATGCAATTAAGCACTGCTTCCCCAGACTCTTTTCCAGCCAGGAGAAATCCAGAACAGGGAGCAAACAGTTCACTTCCATGCTGATTGCAGACTCTGCGTGAGACTTGCTAAAGTGATGCACATCAGCCTCACTCTGTTCCTAGCAAAATACAGCTCCTATTGATTCTGGCAGCCCTCGTAGCAGCAGGGCATTGCCCACCATTGCTTTACCTGTGGCAGTTTTGGGTGTGATGTGTGGTGTTGTGTCAGGGTTGAGCGTAGTTTTACTATCAGGTTAGACAATGGATGAGTCTGAGGTGGTTTGGATAGGGATGATCCTGCTTCAGACAAGGGGGTTGGACTAAATAATCTCTGGAGATCCCTTCCAGCCTGACTTACCTATGGGCATTTATACACCTGCTCCGGAAGTGGAGCGGGGACATGACCGCTTTCATTAGAGCGGCTCTGGAGTGGCTGAATGCACCTGCTTTCCTTCCTGCTGCCAAAAGTCAGGCACACCCCCTGCACTCACATCTTGGATAGCGCTGCCCCATCTTCTTGACCCCACATCACCGTGCCCATTCATCACTGACCTGGGATGACATGTCAATGAGTTTCGAGAGATTCAACTGGCCTCCTTCATCGGTCTTCAGATAATCCAACAAGCATCCTAGGAGCAAAGAAGAAGAACCCCAGTGTCCTCTGAGTCATGGGATCTGGTTGAAAGCCACCCAGTTTTTCCTTGCCCATTTTCTGTTGTTTGTCTATCAAAAATATGTAGACCCTCCTTACTTCTCAGATCTGAATAACTTCAGGGCTCCTGTTTTGTGGAGCTGCAGGGCAGAAACAACCCCCAGAAAAGTCTCCTATTTCCCTTCATATTTTGTATAGGGCTCTTTGCAAAGGTCATGGCTTTCTTATCTCAGACAGACATAGCCATTAGGGGTCACAGTCACAACTACTTTTGAGTAGGAGCTGAATTATGGTATCAAAGGGATTGCGCAGCACAGAAACGCAGAACGGGGAAGGTCATCGGGTCTAGTCCCCTGTGGTCACAGAGGAAGGAGGGGGAACAAAGGAAGGAAACTGAGACTAGAAAGAGCCATTGCGCCTCCCCAGCTCAGCCTTATTTTGACGCACACAGACCGTGGTGACATTGCCTGTCATTGAAGCTGTCCCTAAAACACCCACTGGCTTCAAGAAACCCCACAATATTGCCATCTCCCCACTCCCACACACATGCACGAGGCTGTCCCAATGATACTTGGCCTCTCTCCAGTGGCAGGAAGCCCATGAGAGCAGAGTTTGGGAAGCCTTATCTTCTTGAGAAAAGACTTTGTGGGTTTTTTCATCCGCCTCCCAGCTGAGGCATGATTGCCCTTCACATGACCTGCTCTCAACCTGGGATCGTCAGGAGGCCCAAGCACCAGCCTCCTCTTTTACAGACCTGAACCTGATCCAAAATGTCTATAAGGAATAAGGCTGGGTGAGGCTATTTACCATTGGCCATGAACTCTGTCACAATGTAGACCGGCTGCTTGGTGACCACGGCATACAACCGGACCAGCTTGTCATGTTGGAGCCTCTTCATCAGGTTTGCCTCAGCCAGGAAGGCGTCCGGGGACATGCTGCCTTCCTTCAGGGTCTTCACAGCCACCTTTATGTTGCTCTTGTAATAGCCTGCCAAAAGAGAAGAAGGAGGGCCCTGTGATTAGAGTACTTCCCCACGATGGTGGTACCCAAATTCAATCCCTTCCTCCTATGTGAGCCTGGGAAACCATTTAATCCTTCTCTGCCTCATTTTCCCTGCTGGCTTCTGTCACAGGGGATGGTCTGGGCAGAAGTCCAGCAGTGATGATGAGGTGGTCAGAGGCTCCGATGAAGAGTTGAAGTGCCACGGGAAATGACATAACTCCAGCGAGGGACGAGTGGAATAGGCAGACCTATCAATCGATGGGTCAAGAGTCGAAAGCAAGCCTGCCTCGGGGTGGATGGGGATTAACAATGAAGTCCAGCTAGCAGGTGGGCAATCCCTGTTCCACCCAAGACAGTGGCCACCTCGGGAGGACGTGGAGAAAGGCCATCTTCTTTGATGGGGCCTCTCTGAAGGCAGAGTGGAGGTGGGAGGCTATTTGGGTATGGTAGGTACGAACTTTTTGGAGGGGCAGTGGTGGAGGAAGGGAATGGTAGGGTATTGCTTCTTTCTAGCTTGCCAGAGGGCATTGGGGGATCCATGCCATGAGGGAGAAGCTACCCCTAGGAGGTGGTTTGGGGGCCATTCCAGAAGGTGGAGATGTTAGGATAGAGGAGTCGAGGAAATGTTTCTTTGCCAAGGACCTGGACTGGATCTTGTGTATCCTGCTGAAGAATACAGCAGTGAGCAGCATGAAGATACTGTACTCCAAGGGAGAGGAAAAGGGGGTGGTAAATCTACAGGCCAGGACGGGATGAGCCTCTTGACAGCATGCAAGCCCTGAATTGTGTGTCCATCACCGTGGCATCAGCATCCCTCATTGAAAGGAGCTGGACATTTGCAGTCAAGGGGGAGGGTGAATCTGTTGCACAGTCCTGGCCACCGCTTCAATCCTTGCATCTCCTGGTAGCAAGCAAACATGAAGGAGTGGAAGAGGAGGTGGAGATAAGGAGTTATGGGGATGCATGCCCCGGCCTCCCTCAGCGGAGGTGCATAGACTATTCCCCAAGCCACAGAGTTGCCTGGGCCCAAACTCCAGTCCTCGTTGGAAAGTGTGCATGGGGAGGTAGGTGCCGGCATGCCTGTGTGGGTCTGCACCAAAAGCCAGGCTGTGCTACAAAGTCACAGCAAAGACCTCATTCACACACCCGGCCATGGGCAATGGCTGGAAGTCGTGATGCTTCTGTGGAAATGAGGTGTCTCCTTCTCCTGGACCATGTGCTGCTCTCCCAGACATACCCCACTGGGAGCAGAGATCACTGTACTTACCCATCCACACTTCCCCAAACTGCCCAGCACCAAGTTTCTTCACAAGTTTCAAGGACTCCCGTGGGATCTCCCATTCGTCCTGCGCCCAGGGTCTCTGGGGGATCAGCAATGCGCATGGAACCGTCAACTTCTGGCAAAGACCGTCGCCCTTGGCTGTAGATGGAGAAAACACCTTCTAGGTCACTGGGAAGAGCCGAAACCTCAGCCCTTCATCTAGCCCAAGCCATGGTGCTGGACATACGTACAAAGGGTAAGTCATCTTTTTGCTTGGAACAAGTCCATCACCATCCCACCCAGACGACCTCAGCCTCATGGCTCTGAGCATTGTGGTCTGGATTCACCACCAAGGAACAGCCCAGGAGATCCATGCATTAGCCTATCCTCAGCTACATCCCTGCTACAGTCTGTTCATACCCCCCTCCTGCAGAAATAATTTCTGTGCAGGATGGAGGTCACATCTGCCGACATATCTCTCTCCAGAAGCCAGCCCCTTCCAGCTCTCCTACCTGGATGGTGGTCACAGAGGTGGTGGCTGGCTTTGCCCCTCCTGTACTTGGGGGTGGAGATGTGCCTGAAGGACACAGGGCTGGAAGGGGAGGTTCATCCTGCTTATGACTTTGGGCGGGGGGGAGCCGAAGAGAAGGGCGTGCACACCACGGAGTGCCGGCTGGCTCGAGCCTGTATGGCCTTCCTTGTACATCGCTTCTTGCTTCTATTGCCCCCTCTATCAGGCATGGCCACCCAGGCCGTTTCTGCCCCGAGGAATGTCCTGCAGCCTCCCCCTGCCAGCCGGTGAGTCTACACTTATCATAAGGGAAGGTGGGCGACTTACTACAGTAATAATGGACGAGCTGATGCAGCGAGGAGAAGGTGGTCCTTGGGGAGATGTAGTATCCCCCGCCGTCCAGGGTACGGATCCTGTAGTGTTTGATGATATCACCGCTGGTAGCATCACTGTCTCTCACAGACAGAGAATAGGCACCTGGAGGATAGAGAGGAGAAAAACCCCTATTACTGGTGTGTTGGGGGCACTACTTGCTGGTGAGATGCAATGCTTCATCTATACCTTCAGTCTGCTATGTAGACCATATGGGACAATGTGAAATCTGGGACACTGCACACCCCTCCCTGCTGCTGCAGGCAAAGGTGGAGGCAGGGTGGCATGCTGCAGCTCTGGTATTACTATTTAGGCAGCTAAGGGAGTCAATGGCCTGTTAATGACCCATTATTCTTTACTTCACAGGTGTTAATAATCCCCATTTTAACCATCATTCCACTAATCAAGTGAACCTATGTTAGGGCAATTTGGCTGCCTGCTAGGACTTCCTATTTCACAGCTCCTGCAGCTCTGCCTGCCCACCCTGGGACACTTGTTTTAATTTTCACTGGCCAGCCGGGACCGGCCTCTGAAATCTGGAGCTGTCCTGGCCAAACTGGGATGTATGGTCACACTAGCTATGAGAAGTGCAGCCTGTGGGTGGCTAAGTTGTGAATGTGAACATTTGGGACTGTGTCCCAGGTAGCTGAGCTACTTCAGCCCAACTGCAAAGACACTTAGCCTTTGCCAAAGTGGGTCTTGCTACTGGGACACCAGCAAGCCAGTGACCAGCACCAGACACTTCAGAGTAAGTGGAGATGGCTGCTGTCATCGAAAGCTCTTATAAAGCACCAGCATACTCCAGGGAGCAAGAGATTTCCCTGCCTCTTAGCCACAGGGCTGAGGTTCTGGACAATGGGGCCCAGTTACACGCTCCCAGTGAGATGGATACTATCTTGGGGGGCAGCAGAGCCTGGTTTCTGGCCCCGTTCCCTGTAGCTTTGCTGCACCCTACATTTAATGATTGCATTAAATAGATGCGCAGCACTGGGAACCCTACCTTCCACGATAGCATCCATTTCACTGAACCACACTCCTCAAGGCTCACTTTCTTCCTGCTCCCACGTATCTTTCCTTTGTAGGTTCCCAGTGGGCCAGCATTAAGAAGCAGATGCTCTGTACCATGCCAAGCCCATGGCTTGGAGATTAGAACATGCTAAGAAGCAGGTTCAAGTCCCATCAGGTTTGGTGAAGCCTTAAAGTGGCTATTGGGCTAAGTCTCCCACTCCCAGCAACCTACTGAGCTAGAAGTTGGGAGAGTCCTCCATTTTCTTCTGGGCAATTATGTATGTATCCTGGCAATCCTTCCAGCCCCTAACATTTATGAATCTATGAATCCTATTCCACCAGAGTCTAAAACCCTGGGTAAGTGGCAAAACCTGTGCTTACATGGCTGAGAGCTCCTTCAGCACATAAAGGTGCAATAGGATTTGGCTCTTAATCTCACTCCGTGCCTCGGTTCCAATTTGTTCCTTTCTTTGTCTCCTCTACTTCAGTTGCAGGTCTTTGGGGCTGGGACCTTGCTAATGGCTAATGGCATAACGAAGATGCAGCATGGCTTTTGCAGTGTGACATTTGCCAAAGCAATGTGCCAGGATATGTGTTACTACCATTCTAGTATCTGGCAAAAGTGCATCAATCAGTCTGCAACATCCCTCATTGCTCAAATCCTGGACTTTTGCACTGCTTGGAAAACACACTCTCTTCCCCATGGGCACAGCTCCTTGCCAGTCCAGCACAACAGTGGTTTGCTGAGTGCCAGGACATTTCTGAAGTGATAGTTTCAAGTGCACACCATGAAAACACTGCAGCACAGTGCAGAAAGGTGATTTCTTTGCTTGGAGCCTATTTCCAGACTAGCATCCTTCTCATGTGTAATTTGGATTTATGGAATCCAACGGGAAAAATAATTCAGCGAGGCAACCAGCATGGATTTGTAGCAGGTAGATCATGACGGATCAATCTGGTTTCAGTTTATGACAGGGTCACAAAATGCTCAGACGCAGGAGTAGAGGTAGATGTCATTTTCTTGGGCTTTAGTAAGGCCTTCGATACAGTATCTCATCCCATTCTCATAAATAAATTAAGAGGCTGTGACATAGATGTTTACAAGGTCTGGTGGGTGGCAAATTGGCTTAGTGGTCGCACCCAGAGCGTGGTAGTAGACGGGTCGGTATCGACCTGGAGGGATGTGGGTAGTGGGGTCCTGCAGGGCTCGGTCCTTGGACCCGTACTCTTCAATATCTTCATCAGTGACTTGGATGTGGGTGTGAAGTGTACTCTGTCCAAGTTTTCAGATGATACTAAATTGTGGGGTGAAGTGCCCACTCCAGGGGGTAGGGAACGATTGCAGGCAGACTGGCCAGGTTAGAAAAGTGGGCAGTACACGATAGGATGCAGTACAACAAGAACAAGTGCAGGGTGCTGCACTTAGGGCACAAGAATATCCAGCACATCTACTGGCTGGGAAGCGACCCTCTCAGCAGCACAGACGCACAAAAGGGATCTCAGAGTCATAGTGGACATAGCAGATGCATGATGAATAGATCCAAGGAAGTGGTACTTCCCCTCTATGCAGCATTAGTTAGACCGCAGCTGGAGTCCTGCATCCAATTTGGGGCACCGTACTTCAAGAAGGATGTTGATAGACTCAAGAGGGTCCAGAGGAGGCCACTCCTATGGTTAGGGGCTTACAGGACAAGCCCTATGAGGAGAGACCAAGGGACTGGGACCTCTTCAGCCTCCAAAAGAGAAAGATATGGGGTGATTTTGTGGCCGCCTACAAATTCAATAGGGGGGAGTCCTGCATCCAATTTGGGGCACCGTACTTCAAGAAGGATGTTGATAGACTCAAGAGGGTCCAGAGGAGGCCACTCCTATGGTTAGGGGCTTACAGGACAAGCCCTATGAGGAGAGACCAAGGGACTGGGACCTCTTCAGCCTCCAAAAGAGAAAGATATGGGGTGATTTTGTGGCCGCCTACAAATTCAATAGGGGACACAGCAAGGGATCGGAGATGCGCTGTTCACCAGGGCGCCTCTTGGGGTAACAAGGAACAATGGTCAGAGAGCAGATTTAGGTTAGATATCAGGAAAAACTCCTTCACGGTAAGGGTGGCCAAAATTTGGGATGGGCTTCCAAGGGAGGTGGTGCTCTCCCCTGCCGTGGGGGTCTTCAAGAGAAGGCTGGATAGGCATCTGGCTGGGCTCATCTGAGACCAGTGCTCTTTCCTGCCTATGCAGGGGGTCAGACTCGATGATCTATTGAGGCCCCTTCCAACCCAAACATCTATGAATCTATGAATATTTTTTTTTCTAATGTTTGAAAAAGTGGAGTCAATAAAAAAAAGAGCCCTGTCCTTGAACCATAAACAGAAGTTGTGTGAAGCCCAAATTGCTTTGAAATCCAATTATTCCAGACAGACAGGGTGGTTTAAATATACATAATGCTGCCTTAATGGCTTGTCTCTTATTTAATACTGGGCACATCGACACGTGCGCATTTACTGCACAGTAGCCGAAATGACTGTGCAGTATGGGCACCCGTCTACACATGCATGCCTGTTCTGCACAGTAAATCTGGCAACTTATACCAATTTACGTGTAAATATGATACCTGCTTCATGCAGGTATGAAGTTTACACCCGATTAGTTACTGCGTAGTAACACACGTGTAGACACTTTACTGCGCAGTAACACTGTGTGTGGACTGGCTTGGGGCTAACTTTAGTCCCAAGCTAGTCCACGTACAGAGTTAATGCACTTTAATGCCTGCACTTATAGATGCTGGCCTATTTCTGCTTACTGTGCATTAATTTACTGCATAGTAAATTTAAGCCAGCATAAATGCACATGTAGACAGGCCCATCATGTCAGTAAAAACCTGAGAAGGAAATGCTGGTCCAGTTCCTTCCCACCATCCTGTAGTATCCCTTGCTCTAGCAGTTCAGAGCCCTGGCATCTGCAAAGTCCTTTCAGCAAAGTCTGCAATAGCTCCAGGCTGTCACCATTTGTTTCTAAGTCAAAGCTCAGAGCCTTGTCAGAGAAGAACGTGAACTCAAATGTCTAGAGGTCTGGACTGAACACTGCTTTGCTTCCTGTTAGCTCCAAAAATGGGTATACCTTAACCATAGTACCCCACAGAGGTATTTGGCTGGATTGGATGTGACTTTCAGTCTCGCTTTGATTTGACTACATTTGGTGAGCCTGCAAGAGTTAGGAGGATTGTTGTGACTTTGGAGACCTCTGCCCCCCATGGTTTTCAAAGTTGCCAAGAATTTTAGGGTGCCCTTTTCTTTTCGGAGCCTAACCTGAGATGATTTGGACGTGACCCGAGTGGGCAGAGCAACCATTGATCTCAGTGAAAAGCCCTGGAGCCATGGATCATAATGACAGGGACAAACCACCAAAGGAAGTCATGGATGTCATGGATGTCATAGAAGATATGGGCTAGCCAAGATGAAATCCTACAGTCTGTGTTATGCAGGAGGTCTCATCAGATGGCCTGATGGCTCTTTCAGCCTAAAAGATTCAGTGCAGTGAATGGGCAAGTGGGTCCTCAGCACCTCTGAAAGTCCCTAAGTGCCTCACATTGGGCAAACAAAAACCAAGGGACCAGATCCTGTTATGTGCTGAAGTGGACTTTTTTTTTTAATTAAAATATATTTCTATATATATAGAGAGAGTTATGTATATAAATCCTCTATCATAAGCTTTCCATCACACGTCCTAAGCCCGCATTAAGAAACCCGTGCTTCCCGTTACCTAAGTGCGACCCTCTTCCACCCCACTTAAGTCTCTGAAGAGCACTTAATACAAGTGACGGCGGGTCCTACTCCAGCTCACTGCATTTGGTGACTTAGTCTTAAGGGTAAGATGTTACAAGCAAGTGTGTGTTAACGATATGTCAGGGACTCCAGCCAGGTGGAATAGGATCACACGTAAGCACCTAATAGTTGGAATAGGATCAGGCCTGACATGTGCAAAACTTGCAGGCACTTCTTGAAAATCCAGGTTCGGATTAGCAAAGCAAAAGCATCTCCTCTCTGTCACACAAGACTTGCTTGTGCTGGCTTCGCATTGCTTAAATCAGTGACTCACATTAAT